GGGAAAGAGCAAAGGCTGGGGGACTGTGGCCATCCCTGGCCCACACAGCCAGGGCAGGGGGCCCAGTAGGACTTACCCTGTGGATGATGCCAGCATCGTGGATATACTGCAGAGACGGGCAAGCAGCGTCAGCTTCCTGGGACCACAGGTGCACAGAGCCTTCCCAGCCCTGGCACCTCAGGGCTGCCCCACCTCCCAGGACCCACCTTCAGCCCCTTCAGCATCTGGTACACAAGGAACTGGATCCGGTCCTCACTCAGCTTCTCGTGTTTCATGAGCTTGCCTAGGTCTGTGCCCATGAACGGCATCACCAGGTAACTGGGGGCCAGGTCCAGTCAGGCTTCTTTCAGGCCTACCCCTCCCCACGGCACTCATCCCCACCCGCCTGGGGTGCAGCCCTTCGGTCCCACATGCAGCCAAGACTCCATGGGTCTGGCCCCACCTGTCACTCTCAGCAGTAACCCCGCCTTCTTCCCACCCCCATGTTGGGAACATCAGACAGGGGGAACCAGGCTGTGTTTTGGGATCTTTGAACTCTTAACTGAAGGTGTTGGTGCCAGACTAGGGGCAGCATCTGGAAGGCAGTGGAGCATGAAGCCTCACAGACAAGGGAGGGCATGGTGGAGTTTCCATTTTAGAATTGGGTGCAGGGACCAGCAGATGGCGTAATGGTTATGTTGCTGGACTCCCACATGGCCAACCGTGGTTCGTGTCCCTGACCCGGTGACCTGAAACTCACACCAGGCGTATGTGCCCAAGATCCTAGGAGGAGAATGGAGAAGGGATTGTGGCATGGCCATCCCCCCTGAGGGTGATTTCTCATTTTCCCTCACACTGTCTCTGTCTCTCTCTCTGGTATAAAAGAAAGAGGAGGGAGGTATCTGGGGGCAGGTCTGAGGTGGCAAGAGGAGTTTGTAGAGGGGTGGGCTGAGGCAGAGCCACAGAGAGGACACCAAGGCCAGGGTGGGACCTTGACCTCTGCAAGTCAAGCAAAAAGCCTGCTGTCCTTCCCAGCCCTCTCCAGCCTGGCCCCGGGCTCCTGGCTAACAGTAGTGTGCGTCCAGGGGTGGCTGTCCGTAGGGCAGGCTCAGCAGGCTCTGCCGCCTCTCCCCTACCAGTGGGCTGGGAAAGGTCAGCAGCTCCTGTTACGGGCCACACACTTGGTGCCAGGACCCTGAGCACGAGACTTGCCTGTTAGCAAATGCTCGAGTCCAGGGTTCACACCTCGGCACTGGACAGGCCCCAGGTGCCTGGCTGTGAGAGACGAGGAGGCCCCAGCTCTGCCCCACTAACACGGGGTGGGGGCAGTGTGCATCCAGCCTCCAACCAGGCTGCGGGGAGGGCGCCCCATGCCAACCCAGGGGCACTCACAAGTCCGTGAAGTCATCCAGGGTCTCGTCGGGCGTAAACACATCCAGCAGTCCAATCACCTGGGGAGGGTCAGGCCAGGTGGGCTCAGGTGCAGCAGAGAACACAGGCTGGACACACCACAGCAGGCCTGCTTGCACCGCTGCCCACAGAGTCTGCCCTGTCACCTGGCAGCATGGCACTGCCCTGGCACACTTGCTCACAGACACTGGCTATTTTTGGATGGTGACAGCCGGGGTCCTCTGGGGGGAAGGGCAGCCCCGAGTCTGGGCTGGCTCCGAACTGCCTAAAGGACCCCAGCCTTTGACCAGTCCTTCCCTTTTCCACCCCACAACCAGTCAGACCCAAAACCAGGGTTAGGGTAGCCTCTGGGGAGAGCCAATACCCCCAGATCATTTTAGAGGCCATGCCTCCACTGGCCAGCCCTGTGGGCAGCACTGTGGCCAGCCAGACCTGCAGGGACACTGCCTGGAGGAGACGGACAGCAGGCTGGGTATGACACAGGGGTAACGGCTACTCAGGTTTAGCTGAGCCTCCCAGGCCCAGGGAACACCGGGACCACACAGCCAAGTCACCAAGGCAGGCGGGCATCAGTAGGGGACACTTGGCAAAGGCCACACACATGGCGGCTGGGGCGGGAGGGGAACACTGCGAGAGTCTGAGGAACATGGGGAGCCAGGCCAGGTGGCTGAGGCCCAGGCCAGGGCAGAGTCAGGGAGAGCCAGCAGAAGTCTCCATGGAAGGGTTCAAAGAGGGGTGTGACTGAACACGGCCTCCTGCTGTGGTGTAGGGACAGAAAGGAGCGAGGACAGAATGGATGAAGTGGGGAAGAACAGCTGGGTGACCATTGGGTGACCACCGAAGGGCAGCGGAAGCAAATAAGTCACGGGGAGGGACACCGGGAGAGGCCCTGGGCACCAGGAGCTTGCTGTTTGAGAAGGGCAGACGATGGCGTCCTGGCGGCTGGTGGAGGGGCTGTCTACCCGGCGGATGGAAACGTCTGTGCTCTGTGCTCTGAACTGCAGTCCAGAGCAGGGGGCCAGAGGCCGGGGTACCTGAAGTGGCTGACTGTGGAGCATGGGGCAGGACTGGCTTCCCCAAGGAAGGTGCCTGCCCCCTCAGCCTCAGCTGCCTCGTAGGGCAGTGGCCCCTGGAGGCTGCAGTGCCTGGATGTGGGTCGGGAGTCCAACGGGGCCCCTCAGACCCACTGGCACAGCAGAGCTGGCCCAGCACAAGCAGGTGGGAGGCTGTGGGGGAGAAGCTACACTCCTGGGAACAAGGCCTGGGTGCAACTGCGGATTAGGGAGACCAGCATGGCCTGGTGTCCACATGGGTTTCACACAGGAAGGAGTGGACATGGAGGTCTGAGAGAATGAAGGACCCAGAGTGGCTAAGAGGGTGGCAGTAGCCAGAAGCCAGGGGACTCATTTTCAGGGTGCTAGGGGTTCTGATGACGCAGGAGGGGCCAGAACATTTGTGGGTGCCCAGGCCACCTACCCTTAGGGCAGGCCCTGACCAGTGAGGGAGGCGTGCCATGGAGTGGGCAGACTAGGGGTCCAAGAAGAACTGGACCAGGAAAAGAGGCCTAATGCCCTCGCCTAGTGGTCAGGAGAGCTGGGCCCCAAGGGGCTGATGGTGGTTCGAACCCTAGCCTCCGTGGCTTGAGAAACATGCTGGCCAAATGTATCTGCGTCCCCCAAATCCTGGAGAAGGGGTTGTGGTGTGATCGTGCCCCACTGGGCGGTGCTTGCTTTCTCTGGAGCTCACATGCCCTCTGGCAATGAAAGAAAGAGAGCTAGACAGAAAGATAAAGAGAGACAGAAAGAAGAGAGACGGAAGGAAGAAGGGAAGGAAAGGGAAGGGGAAAACGCTGCCCTGGCAGAGAGGGCTCTCGGTGACCAGCAAAGGCCGCGAAGTCCCACAAACGGCCAGAAACAGGAGAGGCGTCTCCCAGATGGCGGACATCCAGACATGCTCCAGACTGTCCATCGACTGCCCCTATGTACAACTGTCACTGTGGTGGCCACCTGCCCAGTGTTCTCCTAAACCTCTTCACCCGCAGGAAAGCCAAGGACTCTGAGGTGACAGCAAGGTGCTCAACTCCAGCCCCCGGCGTGGCCTGCACCCTTAGGGGTCAGAGAGCGGGCTCAGGAGAGGCGCTGGGAAGGGGGCAGGCACCCCTCCCCGCGGCTGCCGGGTCCTGGTCCTGGACCTGGGCAAGCCAGAGGCAGATGTCGCGGGAGAAGCCCCCAGTCAAGGCCGCACGCGGGGAGGTCTCTCCCGGGAACGGGTGGCTCCTCCTGGGGGACACTGCACGGCCTCCCGCGGAGGGGCGCCCGGCGGGGGCGGGGGCGGCACGGGCCGGGGCGACTCACGTTCTCGTGGCGCATGTGCTTGAGCAGGCGCAGCTCGCGGTAGGCGCGCTTCGCGAACAGCTCGGACTGGAAGGGCCGGTACAGCTTCTTGATGGCCACCTTGGCGCCCGTGCGGCTGTCCACC